TTCGGCGGCAACCGGCCGTAAGGCCTTCGCAGTCACATCGGCGAGTGCCGCAAGGTGGCGGCACGAGGGCCGCTCGTGCGGCGGCCCGCTCGTGCGCAGCGCACTCGGTGCAGGCCGCGGGCACCCTCCTTCAGAGCCTCGCCTGCTGCGGGTACGCCTTGATGGCCTGCCTGACGGCGAGGTCGGCCATGATCTCCTCTCGAGGAATCGAGGAGCAGCAAATGACATACACATGAGCTTTCGACGGTCCGCGCGGATTTCCAGGATCGGCGCTGAGGGGCCAGGGAGAGGGGTCCAGCGCCGATCCAAGGAATCGGCGCGAAACTCCGCGAGTTGATGTTTATGATGTGATTTGTTTCTTTCCTCGATCCTCGCTGCCGCCGTAGACGGACGGGATCTTGTAGCATCGGTGGAAGGCCTCCACGACACGGCCCATGCCGCCCTGCGACACGCCGCGGCCGCCCATGATCTGGACACCGTTGTCGGCCACCAGATGGCACATGCGCGTGGTGGAGTACTTTAGCAGGGCGATGCGGCCGCCGATCTCGGCAGACTGGGGACCCAACACGTTCATCTGGTGGGTCACCTCGTACAACATCGCGGTGCACATCTCGATGCCGGAGAACATCTGCGCGAGCTTCTCGCGGATGACGGGCTGCTCTGCCAACGCCTTGCCGAATACTTTTCGCTGCATGGACCACTTGAAGGTCTCTTCGGTGCACATCCGAGCACGCAGTATGCAACTGACACAAATCATCCAGCGTTCATGGTTGAAGTTCGACATGATGATCTGGAATCCCTTGTTCTCGTTGCCGAACAGATTTCTTTTCGGCACAACAGTGCCCTCGAAGGTGACGAAGGCAGTGCCTGCAGCGCTGGAGTACTTAGATTTGATGACCTTCGTCTGCACCGTCTCATCGCGTTTGATCATCAGCATGGAGATGCCACCAGCACCAGCGCCACCAGTGCGTACCGCTGTCACGAAATAATCAGCGTACATGCCACCCGTGATCCACTTCTTGGTGCCGTTCACGATATAATTCTGACCTGAGGCGTCCAAGTGTGCGGTCGTGCGGAGCGCAGCCACGTCGCTGCCAGCGAAGGCCTCGCTGATAGCCAAGCAAACTATCTGCTCTCCCCGAAAGACGGGCGGGATGACCTCGTCCTTCATCCACGCAGGGCCATACTTGATGACCACTGGCACGCCGATCGTGTTGGCCGCGTCCATGCCGTCCTCCCAGCCTGGGCACATCAGGCGGACGCGCTCCTCCTGGACCACCAGCTCGTGGAAATAATCGAACTCCTCCGCCGTGACCACTCCACCCATGAGGCCATGCTTCGCGTACTTGAGATGCTCGCCGGGCCCCTGGCCCATGGCGTGGATGCCCATCTCGCCCGCCTTCAATCGGAGGTTCGCGTCAGGCGCCGAACCATCAGCCTCGCATGCCATGGCGTTCTCATACATGTTCTCGGTCCACCACTCGCGAAGAGATTTCCGAAGGGCGATGTGGGACTCTTTGAAGTATGGGGAGTTCATTCCTTGCAAGTGCGAGGGCTCAGCGTATGGCACGGCGCTGAATCTTTTCTTCTCTTCGGTCGCCGACGCCAGCCCATGCTTGAAGCCAACCACGTGGCCCTTCACGAGGCGCGTATACTTGGCCAACACCTCGTGCCGGTGCAGCGCGAAGAAATCCTCTGTCGCGTCCTGGCCGGCATAGTCCAGCAACGTCTGCCTGCCACCAGGGTGCATCTTCGCAAATTTGGTGACATCGTAAATCGTGCCGTCGACGATTACCCAAGCGTCCTCTGGGGTGTTGTGCTTCTGCACCTCCTCCAAAGTGAACTCGGCAACCATGATGCCTGGAAGCCAGAATCCCAAACAGACCTTGCTGCACAGCGGACACCAAAATGGCTGCGGCACGAAAGCAGCGATGATGATGGTGACGGTACAGCGCCCGAATATCGAAATTGATACAGCTGTGTGGGATGTGCCGGGACCCCTCTGGTATGAGGGACAACGGTCCTGCGAGAAGCACGTCGAGGGGGTATGGTCTTTCCCCTCGACAAGCCTCCCATCCCGAACCACTCGAAGGGTCTCGTGACGGCCACAGGGCCTCTATCGAGAAGGCCCGCCCCCAGGAGGAGGAGGAGGCGGAGGAGGAGGAGGAGGAGGAGGGGGGGGGGGGGAGGGGGAGGGGGAGGAGGAGGAGGAGGAGGAGGAGGAGGAGGAGGAGGAGGAGGAGGAGGAGGAGGAGGAGGAGGAGGAGAGGAGGAGAGGAGGGAGGGGAGGAGGAGGAGGAGGGGGGGGGAGAGGAGGAGGAGGAGGAGGAGGAGGAGGAGGAGGAGGAGAAGGAGGAGGAGGAGGAGGAGGGGGAGGCCCTCCGCGCGCGCCGCCTGAAGAAGACGCCGCCGACGCCCCCCCTGGCAAGATCCCGACGCGCCTTTCGGAGCCGCCGACGCCCGAGAGCGCCTGCGAGGGCCAAGGGGGCGCCGACGGAGGGCCACCGGCGCAGGGGGGAAGCCTCGGCCTGGGCTCGGCGAGGCGTCGCCGGGGGATCTGCGGCAGGCCCTCGACCGCGAGTCCACACGCTCCTGGGCGGAGTGGGGCAGCAGGCCCCTTCTCGGCCCTCAGCGGCGACGAATGCGCGACCGGGGGTCGATGCACCCCTGCCGAGCCTGCCTCGGGGGCGCACAGGCATGGATCGGGGGAGGTGCCCTCCCCAACATGCGGCTGGTGCCGCCTCGTTCGGCGGCGGATAACCCGCCATTTCAAATGGAAACGGGACCCGTCGCTAATCCACGCCACCTTGATCCATGTTTGCGATCGCCTGACTGTCGCCCCCCTCACCCTGCCCCTTGATTTTGGGGTCCTAACTCGGCTCCCCGGCGCGGCCCCTCGGGACGATCCCAAGGCCCCCCCCAGAAGAGCCTCGGCCAGGCGCCGCTGCTGGGACGCCCCCCCCCCCGAAGCTGGACGACCGCGCCAGGAACCGACGACACGTCAGAAAGCCCCCTCGAACCCCGATGCCGAGAGAGTCGTCCGCCCGGAGCCTACCCCCCGAGCCTGTCCCTCCCCCGAGCCTATCCCCCCTTGACGCTGCCCCCGAAGAGCGGCGACGACAGAGTCCAGCCGGCCCGCCCCGCGCGCGCCTCCGCGGCCTCTGCGCGCCGCCGCAGCTCCTCCTGCGGCACGTCGCCGTCGTCGTCGGCGCTGCCGCCGCCGCTGCCCCTCCTCGCCCCCCCCGCCCCCCTCCCCTGCTGCCCCTCCTCCCCGTTTTTCCTCGCTCCTCGCTCCTCTTGCCCTGCCGCTCCCCGCCGCCACCCCCCCTTCCCCGCAGCCTGGAGTCGCCGCCCCGTCACCCCCCCCAAGTGTTCCGGGGGCTGCTGGCCGCTGACTGGCGCGGGGCCGGCAGCAGCAGCAGCAGCAGTCGTCGTCGTCGTCGTCGCCGCCGCCGCCGCCGTCGACGTCGTCGTCGTCGTCGTCGTCGTCGTCGTCGTCGTCGTCGCCGCAGCACCCGCCGCCGCCGCCGCCGCCGCCCCCGCCGTCTGAGTCAGAAGCAATCAGTGGGGACCGCTCAGGTGTGTTGCGAGGGCATTTTTGGGGCTTGAAGACTTCTCTCGCATGGGGATCATTGGTTGCCTTTTTTGGGACCGTCGTGACGCCCTACATCGGGTGCTGTCTTGAGGCTTTCTTGTGCCCTTTGGCGTGCCCTTTGGCGTGGGCTGAACTACACATCCTATTGCCTGTCTTGGGGCCCTCTCGGCCAGAATTTGGCCTTCATCGGGCGCTCTGGGGCCGTCTGGCGGCCCTCTGAAGCGCTCGCGAAACCACCTCAAGCCAAAAGGCTGATCAAGTAAACCTGGACTCGTCCGCTCACCTTGAAAACGCACAGCCCAGAAATGGAAAAATGGAAAAGTGGAAAAACCAACCACAATATTGGAAACATGGGAAAACACAGGAAAGTGGAAAAGCGGAGACATGGGAAAGTGGAAGCATCAATCGGAAAAGTGGGAAAGTGGAAAAGTCAGGAGGTAATTGGAAAAGTGGAAAAGTGGAATCGGTAAGTGGAAACATGGAAAAGTGGAAAAGCGGAGAAGTAACCACTTTTCCGCTTTTCCACTTTTCCACTTTTCCCTTTTCTCACTGCTGCTTTTCAAATTCTCCATTTTCGCACTGACGCCACGTATTCCACTAATTAATCAACTTTTCCACTTTTCCAATTGCTGCTTTTCAACGTCTCCATTTTCACACTGACGCTGCTAATTCCAAACTATTAATTTCTATCTGCCCAAGCCTCCACGTCGGGAGTGTGCGGCATCAGGCTAATCCGACGACGCCTCCAAATAAAGCAACCTCCTCTCTCCCATACTCTCAACCTCGCTCCCTTTTCCTTCCCCTCCTTCCCTCCTCCTCTCGTCCCCCTCCTCAGTGTCCTAGCTTCCGAATTGGCTTGCCTCCCCAACATTGACTTGTCTACTGCGCCAGCCCGCTTTTTCCGAACCGGTGCCGTGCCATGCCGTGCGTTTCCCTTTCAATGGTGCAGCGCCGTGCCGTGTCGGTCCGGACCCCTCTTGGGCCGCGCAGCCCCGGGGGGGGGCATGTTATTTCACAGCCCTTCAGAAAAAAACATCTCCAAGGGGCGTGGTCTCATTCCACAGCCCGCCTTTTCCGAAGAGGTGCCGTGCCATGTCGTGCGCTTCCCTGTCAGTGGTGCCGTGCCGTGCCGTGTCGGTCCGGACCCCTCTTGGGCCGCGCAACCCCGTGGGGGCATGTTATTTCACAGCCCCTCAGAGATAACATCTCCAAGGGGCGTGGTCTCATTCCACAGCCCGCGTTTTCCGAACCGGTGCCGTGCCATGTCGTGCGCTTCCCTGTCAGTGGTGCCGTGCCGTGCCGTGTCGGTCCGGACCCCTCTTGGGCCGCGCAGCCCTGGGGGGGCATGTTATTTCACAGCCCCTCAGAGATAACATCTCCAAGGGGCGTGGTCTCATTCCAGAGCGGAAGCGAGGGCCTGCTCTCGGCGCGATAGTTTTCATAGAAGCAACATTCGCATAAACTTTCGGGGGTCCGCGCAGATTTCCTGGATCTGCGCCGGATCCCCCCCGGTGGCGCCACAGGCGCCGCCCCTGGCGGGGGTTCCAACGCCGATCTAAGAAACCCGCGCGGACCTCCGAAATGTTATGTTTATGGCGTTGTATCTTCTTCCATTTCACCCCGGATCCGTTCTTCATGGTCCTGGGGCCCGAAAGCGCTAAGCAAGAGGAGGAGCGGGAGCAGGAGCAGGAGCAGGGTGTGTGTGTGTGTGGGGGGCGGGGGGTAAGGAGGAGGAGGAGGAGGTGGAGGAGTATCTAGGATTAAGAGAGTAAGAGGGATAGGAGAAGGACGAGGAGGAGGAGGAGGAGGAGGAGGAGGAGGAGGAGGAGGAATAGGGAAAGGCACAGGGAGGAGCAGGCATGTCGATGCTATTTCTACGCCCCTTTGAAATGACATGCCCCGCCAGGGCACTGGGATGTGGATGTTCTTCGTAGGCCTCGAGAATGACACACCTTGCTGGGACACAGGCGTGTAGAGGTTAGCGCGCCATGCATCCATCCATTCATCTGCCTCTTGTCCTTTGTCCTTCGTCCGTCCTCCTTCCTCGCGGTCGGCCGTCGACCCGAACGGTCGGCGACCCGAGAAGCCGGCGGCCGGCCGCCGCCGCCGCCGCGGCCGCCGTCCCCGCAGACGCCGCCGCCGTCGTCATCGCCGTCGTCGTCGTGCGCAAGATCTAAGTTTTCGGGGGGCCCTGAGCTTCTTGGGTGTTTTTTCGCCTCTTCCAGGTCTCCAGGAGAAATTGCGGTGTCCGCGGTTTGTTTCCCTTCGACGTTCTTGCCCAGACGCGGCCCTGGGGGGACTCCAGAGCTGATGTTTTACTGTCTGGGTGAAGGTTTTCACTTATTTGGGCGTAGGAGGGCGAGGAAGGAAGAAGAGGGGGAGAAGGAGGAGAAGGAGGAGAGCAGTAGGAAGAGGCGGAGAAGGAGATGGCAGGAGGATGAGCTGGAGGCGGAGGCGGGGGAGGACGGAGGAGGAGGGACGATGATTACTCTCGTTTCCCCTTTTCCGCTTCTCCGCTCTTCTCTGTTGTCTTCTGCTTGCCCCCTTTTTCCATGTTCCTATTTTTCGTTTCAATTGTTTTTTTGTTGTTCCATTTTCCGCTTTTCCATTTCTTTCAAATGTTTCCTTTACTTTTCCATCTTAACTTTCCCACTTATTCGTTAACTTCTGCGTTTTATCAACTTTTCCAATTTTCCACTTGTCCACTTTTCCGTGTTTTTTTAGGTTGCTTTCCGTTTTTCCACTTTTCCACTTGTCCGTTTCCTTCTGTTGTTTTCCGCTTTTCCGCTTATCCACTTTTCCGGTGCCTTCTGTTGTGCTCCACTTTTCCACTTTTCCATTTCTGGGTCAGTGGTCTTCGCGCCAACCGAACGAGTCCAGATTCTTTCCCACAGCCCAAAGGCCTGCACAGTGAACGCGCACGCAATTAATGGCAGGCAGTGATCGGTTGATGGTTGGGGCTGTCAGCGGCCTTTCTTTGTGCCTCTGGTAGTCTCTGGGGACATCTCGTGAATATCTTTGCGCACGTTTCGACCTTTTGCCATTTGTCCATAATTGATAATTGTTTATGCGCAAGAGATGCAGAGGGACCCTCGTTGCGTGCGCCTGACTGCCCATCTCCAGAGGATGCCGCAGCGGAACCACCTCCGCCACCGCCAGGGAGAGGGCTTGCCAGTTCCCCTCGCCGTCTTGGGCGGCAGGGCGCACGCAGAGCAGCGCAGCGCCACATCAGGAGGAGGAGGAGGAGGGGGAGGAGGAGGAAGAGAAGGAGTAGGAGTAGGAGGAGTAGGAGGAGGAGGTGGAGGTGGAAGATGAGGAGGAGGTGGAGGTCAGGTCAGGTAGCTCCTGGAAGTCTGGCCGTCACGCCAGCCGTGCCACGAGGAGACTTCTGAGCGTCATCTTCGCGACATGCATCTTCGATATGGGAACCGCTGCCAAGCCCGAATGGCCCTTCGAACGGTGCTAGAGGAGGAGGAAGGGGAGGAGGCGTTATCGTCGCTGCCGTCGTCGTCTTCGTTGTCGTCGTCGTCGTCGTCGTCGTCGTCGTCGTCGACGTCGCCGCCTGTGGCGGTGGCACGTCCCGCCGCGCCTCGGCGGCGAGGTGCGCTTCGTCGCGCCGCTGCAGCAGCTCCCGCTGCTGCGCGAGCTCGGCCTCGCATGGCGCTCGCTGGCGGACGCTCGCCGCTTTGGCCGCCGCCGCTCGCCATCCTCGTCGTCTTGTGCGCTCGTCGCAACCGCCGCCGCTGGTCCTCGCCGCCGCCGCCGCCGTCATTCGTCGTCGTCGCCGTCGTCGTCGTCGCCGTCGTCATCGTCGTTATTGTGGTCGTGGTAGTCGTCATCATCGTCGAAAGCGCTCGCTGCTGCCGGCGTCGTCGCCACTGCTCGTCGTCGGAGTCGGATCCGTGGGAGGGCTCCAGCTGGGTAGTGGCTGCAAGACCACTCTTCTGCTGCTCAATGCAGTCACGCAGACCTGCAGGCACAATCGTCTCGAATCCCGAAACCTGCGGCAGCCGCCCAAGCGGCAACGGCCGCGTGCCCGACACGGCCTCGCGGCCCCTACACGCCGTTCTGCTCCAGTGCCGCCATTACTCCCTCCGGGTCGTCCTGGTCTGCCACCAGCTCTGCCGCCCGCTCTGTGGCCACCTCCACGGCGGCGGAGGATCCCGCGGAGTCCTCCGAGCCCTGGTCCGCGACGGCTGAATTAGGGTCTGCTGCCCGCTCTGTGGCCACCTCCGCGACGGCGGAGGATCCCGCGGAGCGCCCGCCGAGGAGCTGCTGCTGCTCGGTCTCCAGGGCAGCCTCCTTAGGGTAGTGGTCGTACGGTCCGCACATCGGGCAGTTCGCGCACCCCTCGTACGTGCACTTGACGTGCCAGAACTCGTGGCTGACAAAGCACCACTGCGGGCAGTTCGGGTCCTCCGAGCCCTGGTCCGCGACGGCCGAATTAGACTCTGTCGCCCGCTCTGTGGCCACCTCCACGACGGAGGAGGATCCCGCGGAACCCTCCGAGCCCTGGTCCGCGACGGCCGAATTAGACTCTGTCGCCCGCTCTGTGGCCACCTCCGCGACGGCGGAGGATCCCGCGGAGCGCCCGCCGAGGAGCTGCTGCTGCTCGGTCTCCAGGGCAGCCTCCTTAGGGTAGTGGTCGTACGGGCCGCACATCGGGCAGTTCGCGCACCCCTCGTACGTGCACTTGACGTGCCAGAACTCGTGGCTGACGAAGCACCACTGCGGGCAGTTCGGGTCCTCCGAGCCCTGGTCCGCGACAGCTACATTGGACTCTGCTGCCCGCTCTGTGGCCACCTCCACGACGGCGGAGGATCCCGCGGAGCCCTCCGAGCCCCGGTCCGCGACGGCCGAATTAGACTCTGTCGCCCGCTCTGTGGCCACCTCCGCGACGGCGGAGGATCCCGCGGATCCCTCCGAACCCTGGTCCGCGACGGCTGAATTAGAGTCTGCTGCCCGCTCTGTGGCCACCTCCGCGACGGCGGAGGATCCCGCGGAGCGCCCGCCGAGGAGCTGCTGCTGCTCGGTCTCCAGGGCAGCCTCCTTAGGGTAGTGGTCGTACGGTCCGCACATCGGGCAGTTCGCGCACCCCTCGTACGTGCACTGACGTGCGGGCACGTGGCGCGAGAATTAGACTCTGTCGGCTCTGGACGATGGAGGAGGATCCCGCGGAGCCCTCCGAGCCCCGGTCCGCGACGGCTGAATTAGACTCTGTCGCCCGCTCTGTGGCCACCTCCGCAACGGCGGAGGATCCCGCGGAGCGCCCGCCGAGGAGCTGCTGCTGCTCGGTCTCCAGGGCAGCCTCCTTAGGGTAGTGGTCGTACGGGCCGCACATCGGGCAATTCGCGCACCCCTCGTACGTGCACTTGACGTGCCAGAACTCGTGGCTGACGAAGCACCACTGCGGGCAGTTCGGGTCCTCCGAGCCCTGGTCCGCGACAGCCACATTGGACTCTGCTGCCCGCTCTGTGGCCACCTCCACGACGGCGGAGGATCCCGCGGAGCCCTCCGAGCCCCGGTCCGCGACGGCCGAATTAGACTCTGTCGCCCGCTCTGTGGCCACCTCCACGACGGAGGAGGATCCCGCGGAGCGCCCGCCGAGGAGCTGCTGCTGCTGCTCGGTCTCCAGGGCAGCCTCCTTAGGGTAGTGGTCGTACGGGCCGCACATCGGGCAATTCGCGCACCCCTCGTACGTGCACTTGACGTGCCAGAACTCGTGGCTGACGAAGCACCACTGCGGGCAGTTCGGGTCCTCCGAGCCCTGGTCCGCGACAGCCACATTGGACTCTGCTGCCCGCTCTGTGGCCACCTCCACGACGGCGGAGGATCCCGCGGAGCCCTCCGAGCCCCGGTCCGCGACGGCCGAATTAGACTCTGTCGCCCGCTCTGTGGCCACCTCCGCGACGGCGGAGGATCCCGCGGAGCGCCCGCCGAGGAGCTGCTGCTGCTCGGTCTCCAGGGCAGCCTCCCTGCGGTCGTGGTCGTACGGGCCGCACATCGCGCAGTTCGCGCAGTGCGAGTACGTGCACTTGACGTGCCAGTACCTGCGGCTGAGGAAGCACCACTGCGGGCAGTTCGGGTCCTCCGAGCCCTGGTCCGCGACAGCCACATTGGACTCTGCTGCCCGCTCTGTGGCCACCTCCACGACGGCGGAGGATCCCGCGGAGCCCTCCGAGCCCCGATCCGCGACGGCCGAATTAGACTCTGTCGCCCTCTCTGTGGCCACCTCCGCGACGGCGGAGGATCCCGCGGAGCGCCCGCCGAGGAGCTGCTGCTGCTCGGTCTCCAGGGCAGCCTCCCTGCGGCCGTGGTCGCACTGGCCGCAGTTCGCGCAGTGCGAGTACGTGCACTTGACGTGCCAGTACTTGTGGCTGACCATGCACCACTGCGGGCAATTCGGGTCCTCGACGCCCTGGCCTGCGACGCCGGTGTGAGACTCTGACTCTGCCGCCCGCTCCGTGGCCACCTCTGCGGCGGCGCGCGCCTCTCAGGAGGAAAAGAAACACACAGACACAATTAATCCTCGATTCCCCAGAAAATATGGGAACATGTGGGAAGTGGGGGGGAACGCAGAAACCCAGAAAATAAGGGAAAATATATGGAATCTTTTTATTTGTGTGTATTTATTTGTGTGGTGCCCCTACAGCCTCCGCGGCGCGGCTGACGAGGAACTGCCGCGGCTCGGGGTCCACCTCGAGGGCGGTCAGCAGGGACTGGGCGAGGGGCAGCCACAACAGTGCGACGGCGGCACCGCGGAAGGGCGCCATCTGGAATAGTCGAATGCCCACAACAGATATACGGTGCTCAGGTGATGGACTGCTTGGAACCAACTTGCTACGGACAACGGAACACAGTGAGGACGAAGAGGATGATTCTGGACGCCCGAAGTGGGTACGGCACACATGGGTACGATGCCCAACAACACATTGTATCCCAGACTGGGGCAGCCGGCCTTCTGTCTCAAATGGACAACGTCCATGGGGACACCGACAAAGATTCCTGTTCAAAATGGGCAATCACAACTGTTGGTCGTCGTACTCATTGGTTCCGCACCCATGTCGGTCCCCCGAATGATGAGGGATGAATGAAGAACTTAAGAAAGAGTACGAGGAGAAACGAACGATTAGTAAACCGTGCGGCCCCTTGGGTGCGTCTTGGGCGTATCTGGGGGTCCTCTTGGAGGCCTCTGAGGGCCTGTGTGCGGCATGCTGGCTGTCCTGTGTGCGCGCTTGGGGTGGGGGGCTCCGAATGGCAATTCGAATTCCCCCTCTTGGGCTACTCTTGGGCCCCTCTTTGTGCTCTCTTGCGGGCCTGGACGTGTTTGAATTTCAAACAGGTAGCATGCAATCATCTATCAACAACGTTTTTGTGGGTTTTCGTCGATGGGGGTGTGCTGGCTTCTTCGGCTGGCCCACAAGTCGGGTCCCTGGGGCTATCTCAGGTCATGCCGGGAATTCTGGCGTCCGAGCCGCGCTCCAGACGCCTCTTGCAGAGGTAGCGCGGCGGCGGAGAGCGTCCAGGAGCTCCAGGAATCCAGGGCCCGGGCCCCCCACAGAGCATCCAGACTACCCAATACAGAGGGAGGAGGAGGAGGAGGAGGAGGAGGAGGAGGAGGAGGAGGAGGAGAGGAGGAGGAGGAGGAGGAGGAGGAGGAGAGGAGGGAGGAGGAGGAGGAGGAGGAGGAGGAGGAGGAGGAGGAGGAGGAGGAGGAGGAGGAGGAGGAGGAGGAGGAGGAGGAGGAGGAGGAAGAGGGGAAGGAGAAGGAGGGCTTGAGCGGGCCCGAGGGCACTCCACCTCGTGCGTCGCGGCAGGGTGCCACCGTGCCGAGAGGCACGACGCTCCCTCCTTGAAGCCTCTCTGATCGGGCCAGGCCGTCCAATGCGACAGCGCAGCCGGAAGTCGCCTCAAGCGAAAGCAGAAACCGGCACCGACCGAGATCGACGGGCCAAGCGCAGCCTACGAACCTCCTCCTCCTCCTCCTCCTCCTCCTGCTGCTTCTGGCTGCGGACGCGAGTGCGTGTCGCAGCGGCGGTCTCGGCGACATGCTATGCCCTGCAAGCGGATAGCATGTCGCTCCGCTCCGCGGGGCGGGAGGCTCGGGAAAGCTCGGGACGTTGACGCTTGGGAACCAGGACATGGTCAGCGTGCCGCCCCGAAGCGTGGTGGGCCAGAATTGGCGGCGCGACATGCTAAGCCAACGCTCACGACCGTAAATTGTCGCTCTCTAGCGCTCTACGCCCAAACCGCGATACCCCAGGAGAACAGCAACGGGGGCAGGGGACCAGCGGAGGCCCCGCCAGGACCCCCAAGGCGACGCCCAACGCAAAACGGTGCAGACACCGCTTCCTCCTCTTCCACCTCCTCCTCCTCCTCCTCCTCCTCCTGTTCCTTCCACCGCCTCCCACTCCCCCTCCCCCTCCCCCTCCTCCTCCTCCTCCTTCTCCTCCTCCTCCAGGTTCTCCTCCTCCTCCAGGGCCTCCTCTGGGGCCTCTGGAGCCTCGGACAAGTCTATCCCTCACGCGGGTGAAAGATAGCCTGCAGAATTGTGGAAAACGGGGCTCAATGGACAGGAAAGGGGGTACCCACCACCTTCTTGCTGGTAGGGTCCTTCCCCTTCTCAAGCTCCTTCAGAGCTCTCCTGCCCCATTCGCCTGGCCCTCTGGGAGGGCACTCCTTGGCCAAGCCTTTCACCTGACCAGTGCCATAGCTCCCACATCTTGCACAGAAAAACGTAGTCCCACACACCCACATTCGATGGGAGGGGTGGGCCCTGGCAACAATCCTTGGGGTACCTGGGCAGCGCTGACTGGTCACGCGTTCTCTTCGGAGCGAGCTCTGACCACACAACCGACAGCCCCATCTACCCCTTGCTTATGAAGGAGGTGCCCATTATCCCCCTTTACAAGTTTAAGAGTACACAGTAATTCACCCGCTACCTTTTGCTTTTCAGGCCTCTTCTGGACCTTTGGCATATCATCTACATCTGGAAAACCTTGCCTACTGAGATTATACAAAACACCTGACAGGAGTCTAACAAACTTAATCCCGAACTGCTCAGCGGCTCTGAGACGTTCAAGGATCTGGGGTTGGGACGGGTGACCCATAGCACCTAGCTTAGCATACCTATCGGCCTCAGAATTCCCAGCATGCCAGTGTGGGGGAAAACCGTTCCTGCTCAGCCACGCCTTGGATTTATGGGACGGCATCCAGACCAGCTCAAAACTTTCTCTCCCCACGTCTTCGATTTTCCAGAAAATCAACCTCCAAATCTCAAAATACGGTTGGGACGGAACACACATTATTTCAGCTCCTTTGTCCGCGGACAGCAGCAAGTTCTTATGATCGGTGATGATGACCGCCTTCGGCCCCATCAAGCACAGGGCCATATAAAAGGCGAAATGTTCAGCGAGCCCTGCACTCTGCACCACGCCAGGCGTGGGGCCATAACACACAAGTCCTGCTTCGCGGGATCCTGGAACCAAGGTACAACACGACCATCCCGAACGGGTTTGCCACTCCACTTCAGGATTCAACCCCGATCCGTCGATGAAAATCTCCAACCCCAAGTGGCCCCTGGGCCCCAGTCTTTTCTGAAAATTCTCTTCAGCCTCGGATCCCACGAGCGGTGGAGGGTATTCGTCACGTCCCGAGCCTGTAACACCATACTCGACAAGCGGACAATCTCCTGCTTCCCGACTGATATCCACAAGCTCGGCCATATCAAAGTCACGCCGCCACGCAGCCTGACCATCACATTCATATATACGGTGCCGAATGGTGCCTGCCTGAGCTCCACAGCTTCGACACAGGTTGGATATGGAGTATCTTTCACAATACAGCTTGCTCTGGGTCCAAAGGCCTCCAGCAAGATGGGTGACAACTAAATCTGCCTGGATATGTTCACCCCGTCCCCTCATACGCTGCAGCTCCTGCGTAATGGGATCCAAATACGGCATGCAGTCCCACCCGAAGTGCCTCTGCGCTTGGATCTCCTGGGCCCTGCGGAGGCTACGATGGATGAGGCTCTTGAGGGTCTGGAGGCCTATATCGAAGAGGTCCACCACGAGTCCCTGGGCATCTTTCCACGTCGCATAGTCTACCGCCACCCAACCCATGCGCACGAGGGTCTGGATGACAGCGCCAGCTGGACCTATCACCGAGCTCCACCCAGCCTTGGGCGAGGCCGCGGCCGCGTCAAAGATGGTGGAAAGCAATTTCCGAGGGAGCCACTCTTGTCGCAGTGCGGTATACCATGTCAACAGCGGTAACGTATTGACGACGAACGACGGGTCGAGGTCATACGGATCCGTTAATAAATACTGCACTGCACGCGAGCGCCCTTTAGCCTTCCCAAACAACACAAAAGATGCAACATAACGTAAACTGGCCAAGTCCGTCGTCGACATCCCCTGGGCCCTTATACCATGCGTTGCTGCCGCCATCCCTCCTGCCCGAAATACACGTTTCAGTCCCTTTCGGTGATGCTTAATCGAATGAAACCGACCAGCTCGCCTCCGAACAGACCAAATCCTCTGCCTGAGTGTCTTCTTCCCCTTCCTGAACTGCATCCCGAAATCGTGCCCGAGATTTTTCACAGATGAATACGCTTTAAAGCAGTACCTAGACAGGGCCTTCTGCAACTTCTGGGCAAGCTGGTCACTCGAGGCCACAATCTGGCCCTTCTTCCTGGGGATGACCAAACCTAACAGCTCGAGGCGACGACGCAGGTCAGGCACGGCTGTGGCGATTTTCAGCTCCACGTTCCGCATGGAGCCTATCGCTTCGACGGTGATGTCATCCACCATCACATATAGAGTGAGCGAACTCCAACGTTCCTGCATATACTGCAAAGCATCGTGGAACATGACCCTCAGGAGCGTCGTGGCAAAAGAGCATCCTGCTATGATGGATCTCGTGATCTGGATAGTGTCGGACACAATCTCACGCACTTTGACACGACGCTTACCACCATACACCATGAGCAACAGCCTGATACGACGCAAACTAAAGTTATGCTGCACACACGCGTGCCACAATACATCGTGCGGGATCTTCTCATAGCATTTCTCCATATCTATAAGAGCCGACGCTGACGACGCTTGTATTGCTTTGGCTGACTCGACCGACGCTGCTTGCTGCCATATCGCTCTCCCACAACTCTTCCCTTTCGCCCCATCGATGCATTTCAGCTCGTGTGCTCGCTCCCACTGTGCTGCTTCATACCTACGGATACGGCTTAATACTCTGATCGCTGTCGCCAGGATGCCAATGGGTCTGTAGCCACCATCTGGCTTCTGCAAGAAGGCAACCCGCGACGTGTCGCACTGCGCTGGGATCAGCAAGTGCGTCTCCACGCACGAAAGAAACTTGGCATACACCTCGAGCGCCTGATCGCTAAGCTTCCTCAGCGCAGCAAGGCTCCACCCATCAACTCCTACAGCTGTGTTCTTTTTGAACCGTTTGAGGGCTCCCTTGATCTGCCCCAGAGTCGGGACTGGCGGGACATCTCCAAGGGGTAGTCCAAGGTGTTCTGCCGTGAGTCGGCTGGGCTCTCCTTCGTGCCATATGCTCCTCCACTCCTCCAGAAGGGACTCGACGGTGTCGACCTGGCCTGCGGGACCTCCAGAAACTCCAGTGGGATCGGGAGCCCACCCAACGGGTTCTTTGGTGTACTTAAACACAGCCACGCCACCAACCGCCAGAGAACTATTCACCCAGTCCCTCCAAACCTTCGTCTTGGCTTGCCTGAAGCACGACTCAACCACTTCGGCGAATTCTCGAACGGACTCAGCATACCCATCCAAATCATCAAGAGAAATGCCAGCCTGAAAACGTAACCTATCTTGAAACTCTCGCCATCCAGGAACAGCTGCTAGGTCGGATGTCGGCTTACGGAGCTTGCCTACGAGATCCTTGGCCCCTGGCGAGTGCCAGCTGTGTTCACGCCTCCGAAGGTGTCTGAGCTCCTCAAGACGGACCTGGAACTTCCTGAGCGCCCTGGAGGCCTTGGTGCACTTGGGATAGGGGCCCTTGACATTCTCCAAAACAGGCCTAGATACCAGATGATACCCAGCTCCTCTGCCGAAATACTGCGACCTATCAGCTAGAGGAATACCTAAGATGTCGGCGAGCTCTCCTTCCATCATCGCACACATGTCCGGGTGCAATAGGTTGAACTCGGTCTGGGTTGGCCTCTCGTCGAAGCCGTGAAACCTATCTAGCAGATCGCTCCAATTCCTCTGAGGCGCAAGTCCTATTGGCCCTTCGAGGGGAAAGGGCCGAGGCAACTTTAAAACCTGCTTTGTCCGCCGATGGGTGTCCGTGGAGAGAGTTAACATTACTGGATAATGCGTTTTATTCCCTGGCTCCTCCACCCTGCGACAGGACTTGGTCGAGCCCACGAGGTCGTGCGAGACAATGAAAAAATCGAGTTCTCTCCACCGACCTACCCTGCGCGTGGGCTGGTTGCCGTACACGACGACACCCCTAAGCTTGTGAATGATTGGCAACGCCTGCACTTCTGACGGCAACGAGTTGAAGTCCGCGGCCCAGATGAAGGGCTTCTGAGCAGCGTAGAGAAATTCGCCCATCTGATTTATCAGCTGACGACCCCGTTCTCCCTGGACTCCTTCCCCATCAGGCAGATACATACTAGCAGCATATAGTCCCCCTCGTACTCCTCCATTAACCCAGACAATGGAACTCCGAGGATTCATAAGGTGCTTGTGGGGCCCCACGACGGGGCCCATGCCGATGTGGTGCTTCGCAGCGATGCCGACCCCCGACGACACCCCCTTCCCACCAATCTCCCCTGTACGCACAGCTGGTGTCAGTCGCAACTTCCAGCCATCCGAACGCACACTGCTTTCACTCTGGGGTACCCGCTCACGCAATACTTTGCACTCCTGGAAGCACATCACATGAGCACTCGCCAGAGCTGGATCAGTCAGGGCATGCTGGGTTCCTGACCAACCCGACGTGTTGACTGTCACAAAAGTCCATGTAGAGGCCGAACTTGATGCAGAACCTGAGTCTGACTCGTCAGACGAGCCTGCCCTTGGTGCCCAAGGCGTGCTAAAGACTCGCCTGGCCCTCGGCCTCCTTCGTCTTGCCGAGACCCTTTGCCAGGAGCACCTGGGCCTTCTCACGGAGCTCCTTACTGTTGCGTCCGAGAGGCGAGCCCTTGCCCTGCCCAGGTCCTTTGGCTGCATCATGCCCTGGAGGGGCCTGGGACGCCGCCGCCGCCGCACCGCCGTCTGCCGCCGATGCCACGCCCGCCGATGCCCCATCGCCTCCCCAGCCGCCTCTCCATCAGCGGCACGTCGTCGCTTGCCCGCAAGGCGGGCACGTAGCTCCTCCTGCTCCTTCTGGGCGGCCTCGGCCTTGGCCTTGAGCTCGCCGAACAGGTTGGTGGCCAACTCCCTGAACTGAGTCTTGAGTCGAGCCTCCCGATCTTTAGCTTCTTTGACGTCGGACTCCTGCAGATCGATATATTCACCCAAACCGAATAAATCATCACCACATGATAAGTCCCAGTCGGTGTCCTTGCCACTGAGAATGTCGCCCAAGGCAACCACTTTCTTGGCTGATGCGGCACTCTCAGGCTGAGCTGAGGAGATGGTGCAGTGGAGCTCGGTGATCGCCTGCTTGTAGATCTCCTCCTGCGCCGACAGCTCTGCCAAGGTGGTGGACACAACCTCCTGCTGCTTCTGCACTTGCTCATGCATCTCTGCCAGCCTCGTGGTCTGGCCCCGCAGCTCCCCCAACTTGATGATGGATCGATTGGCTTGGTCAGCGCGAGCCTGTGGGGAGACTGCGGTGCGGTCCTTGGCCACCAAGACCGACTCGTAGTACTGGGCGAGGGGAGCGTTCTTCCCCCTGTTGGCCAACTCGATGAGTTGGCGCACTTCATCAACGGATAAGTCTAGGACTGGGTCCTTTCCTCCTGCCTGGGCGCCGACTGGCAATGGAACCATGACGCCAAGCCCAGGAGGAGAATCGCCCAGCTGGCCTTGGTCCCAACCGTCGCGGTCAGTCCCTTTGCCCTTCTTGGCCTTCTTCTTTTCACCTGTCTGCCAGTGTGCCCCGCAATGCTTACAGTGCGCCTGGCTCCACTTCGTTTTACTGCACCCGCAGCGCCCGCAGCGCCACATGTGAGAACTTCTGCCATCCCAAGATTGCTGAGGAGCCATCAGCAGAAACGAAAGTACAGTGAATGAAGGGGGCGCGGGTCACTGTGACCAGCTCGAGCCCCCACCCCAGGGGAAGGGAAGCCCCCAGGCAATGGCCTTGAGCCAAATGGCTACGGATCTCCAGGGCCTCATCCCCCAGGTCCTCCTCCACCTCCTCCTCCTCTTCCTCATGTGGCGCCGCTCAGCGACAATGGACCCCCGACGCCGACGGCGGGAAGACGACGACGACGACGACCCCAACGACGACACTGATGGCGATCGCCCCGCTGTTCGCCAGGGCACTGCGCGGCTTCTGCGGGGCAGTTGTAGTCGTCGTCGTCGTCGTCGTCGTCGTCGTCGTCGTCGTCGTCGTCGTCGTCGTGGTCGTGGTCGTGGTCGTCGTGGTCGTGGTCGTGGTGGTGGTGGTCGTCGTCGTCGTCGTCGTCGTCGTGGTCGTCGTCGCTGTCGTCGTTGTGGTGAGCCTTGGCTGCCGAAGCGGGCGCCGAGAATATACACCACCACTACCACCTTGATCCCCCCTCCCCTCCTCCAGCCTCTTCTTCCTCTCCTCCTTCCTGAAAGAGGCATGGGGGTGAGGGAGGCGGTGGTGGTGCATATTTTGGGGCCCTGTAGCCGAGGCGATCGTCGTCGTCGTCCCTTCACATCCGACGCTGCAGCAAACATGCAACCGCGTGAGAAGTCACGACCAGAGCCTTTGAGAGACCCTATCGCTCTGCGCCATTTCTCGGGCTGCGCCGATCTGCGAGGACCCCAGGGCGAACGCGCCCTGCTGTGAAAAGTTGCAACGCCAGGACCTGAGGGTCGTCGCCCACGTCGCGCCCGCTGCGTGCCGGGGTGCCTCTTCTTCCTCCCCTCCAGCCCTGGAAGAGGCATGGGGGTGAGGGAGGCGGTGGTGCACATCCTTGAGCCCTGAAGCCGAGGCGATCGTCGTCGTCGTCGTCGTCGTCGAAGTCGTCGTCGACTTCACGCCCGCTGCGTGCCGGGGTGCCTCTTCTCCCTGCCCTCCAGCCCTGGAAGAGGCATGGGGGTGAGGGAGGCGGTGGTGCACATCCTTGAGCCCCGAAGCCGAGGCGATCGTCGTCGTCTTCGTCGTCGTCGTCGTCGCCGCCGTCGTCGTCGTCGTCGTCATCGTCGTCGTCGTCGTTGTCGTCCTCCTCGTCGTCGTCGTCGTCGACGTCGTCGTCGTCGTCGTCGTAGTCGTCGTCGTCGTCGTCGTCGTCCGCGCCGCCGCAACAGCTCCCGCTGCTGCGCAAGCGGCCTCGCATGGCGCTCGCCGGCGGACGCTCGCCGCTTTGGCCGCTGCCGCTCGCCGTTCTCGTCGTGGGCGCTCGTCGCAGACGCCGCCGCTGGTCCTCATCGCCGCCGCCGCCGCCATCCGTCGTCGTCGTCGTCGTCGTCGTCGTCGTCGTCGTCGTCGTCGTCGTCGTTATCGTCATCGTTATCGTTATCGTCGTCGTTATCGTCGTCGTTATCGTCGTCGTCGTCGTCGTCCTCGTCGTCGTCGTTATCGTCGTCGTCGTCGTCGTGGTCGTGGTCGTCGTCGTGGTCGTCGTCGTCGTCGTCGCTGTCGTCGTCGTCGTCGTCGTCGTCGAAGGCGCTCGCCGCTGCCGGCGTCGTCGCCACTGCTTGTCGTCGGAGTCGGATCCGGGGGAGGCCTCCAGCTGGATAGTGGCTGCAAGACCGCTCTTCTGCTGCTCAGTGCAGTCACACAGACCTCACGCAAGATCGTCTCGAATCCTGAAGCCTACGGCCGCCGCCCAAGCAGCAACGGCCGCGTGCCCCACACGGCCTCGCGGCTCCTACACGCCGTTCTGCTCCAGTGCCGCCATCACTCCCTCCGGGTCGTCCTTGCGGTCGTGGTCGTACGGGCCGCACATCGCGCAGTTCGCGCAGTGCGAGTGCGTGCACTTGACGTGCCAGTACTCGTGGCTGATGAAGCACCACTGCGGGCAGTTCGGGTCCTCCAAGCCCTGGTCCGCGACGGCCACATTAGACTCTGCTGCCCGCTCTGTGGCCACCTCCACGACGGCGGATGATCCCGCGGAGCCCTCCGAGCCCTGGTCCGCGACGGCCGAATTAGACTCTGTCGCCATCTCTGTGGCCACCTCCACGACGGCGGAGGATCCCGCGGAGCGCCCGCCGAGGAGCTGCTGCTGTTCGGTCTCCAGGGCAGCCTCCCTGCGGTCGTGGTCGTACGGGCCGCACATCGCGCAGTTCGCGCAGTGCGAGTACGTGCACTTGACGTGCCAGTAACTGCGGCTGAGGAAGCACCACTGCGGGCAGTTCGGGTCCTCCGAACCCTGGTCCGCGACAGCCACATTGGACTCTGCTGCCCGCTCTGTGGCCACCTCCACGACGGCGGAGGATCCCGCGGAGCCCTCCGAGCCCTGGTCCGCGACTGCCGAATTCGACTCTGTCGCCCGCTCTGTGGCTACCTCCGCGACGGCAGAGGATCCCGCGGAGCCCTCCGAGCCCTGGTCCGCGACGGCTGAATTAGAGTCTGCTGCCCGCTCTGTGGCCACCGCCGCGACGGCGGAGGATCCCGCGGAGCGCCCGCCGAGGAGCTGCTGCTGCTCGGTCTCCAGGGCAGCCTCCTTAGGGTCGTGGTCGTACGGGCCGCACATCGGGCATTTCGCGCACCCCTCGTACGTGCACTTGACGTGCCAGAACTCGTGGCTGACGAAGCACCACTGCGGGCAGTTCGGGTCCTCCGAACCCTGGTCCGCGACAGCCACATTGGACTCTGCTGCCCGCTCTGTGGCCACCTCCACGACGGCGGAGGATCCCGCGGAGCCCTCCGAGCCCCGGTCCGCGACTGCCGAATTCGACTCTGTCGCCCGCTCTGTGGCTACCTCCGCGACGGCAGAGGATCCCGCGGAGCCCTCCGAGCCCTGGTCCGCGACGGCTGAATTAGAGTCTGCTGCCCGCTCTGTGGCCACCGCCGCGACGGCGGAGGATCCCGCGGAACGCCCGCCGAGGAGCTGCTGCTGCTCGGTCTCCAGGGCAGCCTCCTTAGGGTCGTGGTCGTACGGGCCGCACATCGCGCAGTTCGCGCAGTGCGAGTACGTGCACTTGACGTGCCAGAACTCGTGGCTGACGAAGCACCACTGCGGGCAGTTCGGGTCCTCCGAACCCTGGTCCGCGACAGCCACATTGGACTCTGCTGCCATCTCTGTGGCCACCGCCGCGACGGCGGAGGATCCCGCGGAGCGCCCGCCGAGGAGCTGCTGCTGCTCGGTCTCCAGGGCAGCCTCCTTAGGGTCGTGGTCGTACGGGCCGCACATCGGGCATTTCGCGCACCCCTCGTACGTGCACTTGACGTGCCAGTACTCGTGGCTGAGGAAGCACCACTGCGGGCAGTTCGGGTCCTCCGAACCCTGGTCCGCGACAGCCACATTGAACTCTGCTGCCCGCTCTGTGGCCACCTCCACGACGGCGGAGAATCCCGCGGAGCCCTCCAAGCCCTGGTGCGCGACGGCTGAATTAGACTCTGTCGCCCGCTCTGTGGCCACCTCCGTGACGGCGGAGGATCCCGCGGAGCGCCCGCCGAGGAGCTGCGGCTGCTCGGTCTCCAAGGCAGCCTCCTTAGGGTCGTGGTCGTACGGGCCGCACATCGCGCAGTTCGCGCAGCGCGAGTACGTGCACTTGACGTGCCAGTACTGGCGGCTGAGGAAGCACCACTGCGGGCAGTTCGGGTCCTCCGAACCCTGGTCCGCGACAGCAACATTGGACTCTGCTGCCCGCTCTGTGGCCACCTCTACGACGGCGGAGGATCCCGCGGAGCCCTCCGAGCCCTGGTCCGCGACGGCTGAATTAGACTCTGCTGCCCGCTCTGTGGCCACCTCCGCGACGGCGGAGGATCCCGCGGAGCGCCCGCCGAGGAGCTGCTGCTGCTCGGTCTCCAGGGCAGCCTCCTTTCGGTCGTGGTCGTACGGGCCGCACATCGCGCAGTTCGCGCAGCGCGAGTACGTGCACTTGACGTGCCAGTACTGGCGGCTGAGGAAGCACCATTGCGGGCAATTCGGGTCCTCCGAGCCCTGGTCTGCGACAGCAACATTGGACTCTGCTGCCCGCTCTGTGGCCACCTCCACGACGGCGGAGAATCCCGCGGAGCCCTCCGAGCCCTGGTCCGCGACGGCCGAATTAGACTCTGTCGCCCGCTCTGTGGCCACCTCCGTGACGGCGGAGGATCCCGCGGAGCGCCCGCCGAGGAGCTGCTGCTGCTCGGTCTCCAGGGCAGCCTCCTTTCGGTCGTGGTCGTACGGGCCGCACATCGCGCAGTTCGCGCAGTGCGAGTACGTGCACTTGACGTGCCAGTACTGGCGGCTGAGGAAGCACCACTGCGGGCAGTTCGTGTCCTCGACGCCCTGGCCCGCGACGCCAATGTGAGACTCTGACTCTGCCGCCCGCTCCGCGGCCACCTGGGCGGCCGCGCGCGCCTCCGCGGCGCGGCTGACGAGGACCTGGCGCGGCCCGGGATCCGCCTCGAGGGCGGCCTGCAGGGACGAGGCGAAGGGCAGCCACAGCAGTACGACGATGGCACCGCTGAAAGACGCCATCTGGAATCGTCGAATGCCCAGAACAATCCGCCAGCACGCTTGCAGCGGTGTGTGTGTGTGTGTGTGTGTGTGTGTGTGTGCGTGTGTGTGTGTGTGTGTGTCTGTGTCTGTGTCTGTGTCTGTGTCTGTGTCTGTGTCTGTGTCTCTGTGTGTGTGTGTGTGTGTGTGTGTGTACGGCCCTCACGCTCCTTGCGAGGCAATACTTGGGGCCTCCCGACGCATCGAGCCCAAAATGCGTTCGTTTGTATGACCAAGGCCCTGCTTGTTCGGCCTTCCAGGCAGAAAGGCAGGAAATGTGTCCAAATACAAAATTTTAGGAGGGACCTTCAGTGGACTCCCCCCCCCGGCCCCCCCCCACCCCTCTCCCCCCTCCCTTGACGCCCGCTCGAGCGCGGTGGCGGAATCACGCGGCAACGCCACTGGATAAATATACGGTGCTCAGGTGATGGACTGCTTGAGCACAAAGTGTTACGGAGACGGAGCATAATGAGGACGAACAAAGTGATTTTAGACGCCCGAAGTGGGTACGGTAAACATGGGTACGATGCCCAAGAGTAAATTGTATCCAGAACCGACAGCGGCCGCTGTTGGGCAGCTGGCCTTCTCTCAAATGGACAACATCCGCAGGGACACCGACAACGATTGCTGTTCAGAATGGGCAGGAACTGCCGTTGGTCGTCATTCCCGTAGTTTCCGTACTCATGTCGGTCCCCCGAATGATGAGGGATGAGGGGAGAAGACAAGACATAGTATGAGCAGGGAACGAAAGATGAATACATCGTGCGGCCTCTTAAGTGCGTCTTGGGGGCATCCGGGTGGCCTCTTGGAGGCGTCCTGTGGGCGCTCTTGGAGTGGGGGGCTCCGAACGGCAATTCGAATTTCCCCTCTTGGGGCACTCTTGGGCCCCTCTTGGCGCTCTCTTGCGGGCCTGGATGTTCTTAACTTTCAAGCAGGTAGCATGCAATCATCTATCGACAACGTTTTCGTGGGTTTTTGTCGAGGAGGTGTGTTGGCGTCTTCGGCTGGCCCACAGGTCGGGTCCCTGGGGCTACCTCAAAGACAGCGCGTTTCACGGGCGCTTGCCTTGGGAACATTCGGCGGCGCGTTTCGAAGGTTTCCTGGCGATTGGAACGCTATGGATCACCAGTTTACTCATCATGCATGCTCGTCGTTTTCGTTATTCTTCGTCTTCCCGCTCCTTCTTCTTCTCCCCGGGTCTTTCTGTGACGCCTTCACAAAAAGGATTCCTTCTGTGGCGACCTTACAAACAAGGTTGTCGTTGTGGATGATCTGCAATGGCCCCCACACTTAGAATCCTTTTGTATCAGCCTGTGCAAAGGGATTCCCTTTGTGGCGGCCTTACAATAAGATTTGAATTGTGGGGGATCTGCAATGGCGGCACCGTGGGCCCAGGAAAAATAGAGATGAAAACCGTGAAAAAACACACACACACACACAGGAAACAACATGTGTTTTCACACGGAGAAACAGGAAAAGCTAGGAACACTTGTGATTGTCGCTATTTCTAGGGTGCAGATAACCTACACATTTTTGTTGTTGTTGTTGTTGTTTTTTTTGTAGCGGCCTTTACAAAAAAGATCTCTTTTGTGGCGACCTTACAATCGGATATTCTTGTGGAGTATTTGAAATGGCCCCCACACTTACAATCCTTTTGTAGCAGCCTGTACAGAAGGATTCTTTTTGTGGCGGCCTGCCAAAACAATTTAAAAGTGGGGGATCTGCAGTGGCGGCACCGTGGGCCCAGGAAAGCTAAAAAGGAGAACAAGAAAAACAGGACACACATGAAAAAACACATACATCGGCCGAATGAAAGGTCCTTGAATTTTCGTCACATCTCTCGCTCGCGGAAGCCGACGGAAATAAAACGAGGCGGAAGACGGCGGAAGGCTGTCGGAAGGTTCGCGGAAGACGGCCGGAGTGAATGACGCCCCGTCCAAACCCCCCTCCCCCCCGTAGAAGCCTAGCAATGCAGTCTTCTGCCGTGGGCCGGGCGGGATCCCACCTAAACTATTCCCCTTTGATATTATACTTTTAGTTCAGCCAGGCTAAAACCCCATCCATCAAAAATGGGGTAAACAAATATCCCGGGTCGATCGCGGATCCGGTTCGGGTCGGGCCGGGTCGGGCGGTCGGGTCGGGCGGGCGGGTTCCTGGAAACTTCCAAAAAACCTCCCCAAAACCCTCGTCACGAAGAATCCTGGATTCTTCGTGAGGAAGGTTTTTGGAAGATTTTCCTAAGGAAAGGGGGGGGGTGCGAGGAAGTTTTTTGGAAGGTTTGTCCAAGCACATTTCTTAAACCTTCCAGAAAAAATCAAGAACCTTCCAACCACCTTCCAACAAACCTTCCAACACCCTTCCAAACACCTTCCAACACTTAGCGACACCGCCCAATACATTCCAAAACTCTGCCAAAAACCTTCCAAACAACCTTCCAACAAAAACCTTCCAAAACACCTTCCGAAAATCTTCCCGATAACCTTCCAAACACCTTCCAAACACCTTTCAAAAAAAACAAAAACCTTTAAACAACCTTTCAACAACCTTCCAAACAAAAACCACCAACCTTCGCGACGAAAATTACCGGAAGGTTTTTTGGAAGGTTTCGGGAATCTTGGATTCTTCGCGAC